CGATAAGTTGATGGAGAATTTAAATCAAGTTTTTCACTTTCATAATCAGCTATAATCCATGGAAATACAGGATATTGATTTAAATCTTGTTTAGATACATAAGATATTCAAAATTTGAAGTTTCTCGTCTTTTCCGTCGTTGAGTCATATTTGCTGAACGAAATAATTGTTTTGCTGATGGTAATGATGTTCGTCTAAATAAAATTAAAAAAATAATAGAAAAATAAATATTATCAAATAATTATTCTCACCGTTGTTGTGGTAAACCATAACGACTACCAACACCAACTCGAGGTAAAAAGTTTACAACTTTTTTTACAATTGAACGATCAATAAATGCAAACATAACACTTGCTAAAATACAAATTTAGAAAAGTACATTATAACAAAAATAAAACAGAAAACTATAGATTGAAATAATAATTCAATCTTTCATACAAATATCTGTTAGATTATTTCGATTTGAAAATTTGCATAGAGACAAATCTTAACCCTTAAGAACCCAATATTTCTTCTAAGGGATATTTGAATAATTTCAATCAATTTCACTATAAGAATAATCTTAATAATCATATAGAGATGCAAAAAATATAATTCTTTTATTCATATAAGCGACGTGTGGCTTTGGTTTTTTTTAAGTGATATTGTTAAGGTATCTGATGAAATCATCTCATCAATTTTAAACTATTCCACTAACGCAGGACACTATCATTAAGAAAAATGTTCCTTCTGTGGGATAGTCTGCCTCAAGAAAAAATTGAAACAAAGGGATTTTGACTTATAAATAACTCATATGCTATTTAGATTACCCTGAAATTTTTCAATAAACAACTATTGTTTACTCTTGAAAATACAGCATGTTGAAGAGAAGTTGGATTTTATGAGTTTTTTGGCAAAATGTTGCCGATTTTTTCTATGTTCAATATCTCAAGAATAAAGTATCAGTTTTGACTGAAAATTTCAGAACAATTTAAGAATTATATAATCTGATTAATGGCAAAATTTCTGCTTAAGGGCATTATGTAAATTCTAGATTAAGAACAAAGTATGAATGTACTAAGAATTCATCAGCTCAATTTTTATGGTTGTTTTCTTTCTGTTGCAAGAAAAACCTTCCTTTGACTTTTAAGAGTTAATAAGAAGTTGTTTTTTTTTGTGAAAGTATTAGTTGCTATAGCTATATTTTAGAATGTGAAGAACAAGAAGAATTGAAACTTTCATAAGAAATCATTCTTATAAAAGGCTTGTTCCTATGCAAAATTCAAAAATCATTTTTTCTCTTAATATATTACTCATTTAAAAAAAATATACATAGAAGTATAGCAATAAGCTAGAGGTTTTTCGCAAGAGAATTTCATAGCAAGACCAATAAATCTAATTTACCATATTATCTATATATATATATTAAGGATTACTAAATTGACGCATGCTTGAACAAATTTCAGGTTCTACCAAAGGAAAGAAAGGATTCCTATGGATATGAATCAAATTCATTTCATCTTCAATATTATCGGAACTATCAAAATTGAACTATTTAAAAAAAAAGAAAAATCTCCAAAAATCTATTTATTATATAAATAAAGATAGATAATTTCTTGCTCAAATGAAAAATGTTATTATTTATAAGTTTTATAGTCTAAAG